GATATTATAGAGAGAATTTGCATGTTAATCACTTCTGAGAGTTAAAGGGTCAAATTGATATGTTTAATTTGTTATACTGTATAAACTTTTGAACATGCTCCTGAGCCTCCTCTTCTTCAAGCTTCCTTCTCCAAAGGGCACTACTCCTTCTCTGAAAAGATTTCTAGGCTTTGATCCGTTTCAATGTCATACTTATTCACTCAACATTTTTAAATAATATTTTTATGTGATCTGCAGAGGTAAAAATTCACATACAACAGAGTAACTATTGTCAGATAACTCTCTAAAGGTATTTATTAATACAAATCAACTACTCATTCATTACTAGTGACAGGTGCTTAGCATTGACAATTATTACCAGCCTATCAAAATAGAATGAGAAATCAAAAGGAGCCATTAATAAGGATTCCAAAATGCTACCCTACTTTTAGCTGAAAAACTCCTGGGTGGGAATATGGCAAAACATAGGCTGCAAAAAGGCAATTGACTAGGTTGTGTCTTATATTAGATTAACATCTGACTGATTGAGAGGGTGCCACAAATTTTAGAGACCAATCACAAATGGCAGTGAAGCATGGACAATGCAAATCCCAATTACTTTCAAAACTCAACTGAAAAATTGCTCTAACATAACAATCCTTAGCCATCATCTCATCAACATGACTATTCTAAGAGACTCAAGAATGAGACCTAGCCCATCATCTGTTGTTTGAGTCGCCAAGGTCAGTAACACTTCCATGATCTTGACAAGGTAAGTTTTTAGGATCTGTGTATTATTTGACATCTTAAGATGGGCACAGAATCTGCAAAAATTCACTAAAATTCAGGACAACAAGACTAATTAGCAACACATGATGTCAAAGCTTAACCCTTTGGAGGTGATAAACATCTGAGTTCTCCCTATATTATCATATCCAGCAAATAGGTAATGAGAATGCTCAAATTTATCAGGTAGAAGTGGTTATCTTGATCTGACACCAAGTTCTCATAACTAATTTACAAGGAAATCTGTAGCAGCCAGAGGGGAGAATTAACTATCAGATCTTGAGAATTAAGGGTTAAAAGAAACATCTCAGTGGTTAGTATCTTATTGGCTCTTCTTTTAAAAACTAAGTTGGTGCAAAGTTCAAAAAACTTACTTGCATTTTGGCCCTTTAGTGTGACAAAAGTTAATCCCAGTTTAGAATTTTGCATCTTGGTTTATGCCTTTCAGAATCCAGGTTTTCAGGGGGATATGGCTGGTATCTTTTTTTCACTGAAGTAGTGTTTGTTGACATTAGCCAACAATTTCTTGACTTCAATAAAAGAATAATAAGTAAAAAAGAAAAAAAATTGGTTCACCTACTCCTCAATAGCTCTTACAGCTAATATTCTAACTGCATGCAACTGTGCTGACTGAAGACCTGTGATGAATGCTTTGATGAAGCTGAACATGAGAAATGTTAACAAGGTAAGAGCTCAAAGATAAACTGCTTGTAGCACTACAATAAGGGGTAAGATGACTTGCCACCCATGACGCTTGACCATTGATGAAAGGCAATACTATGAGGTAACAGGAAGAAAACACTTCAATTAAAATTTTTCTTCCAAATCAACTTCATCTTTCCATTACAAGGTAAATTTCATATTTTTGCTTCAGCTTTACTTATTGAAGGACCCCAAACATCTATCTTAGCCTGTCATTTTCTGCAGCAGGAAATTTTTGGTGGCCTCTCAAAACTCATGAAAGACTGGAGAATTTCAAGAATCACAAAAGAAAAAGAACCACTCAAGCTACACTTAAGACTAGGGCATTGTAGTATGCCATAACTGTTCTTTAGCTAGTCAGTTAATAGTAAGTCAGTTCCTTAGAATGGTCAGATGCATCTCATGACAACAAATTCTCTAGCATATTTTTTGTAAACATATTTTCTTAGGTAGAGAGCCTCTGCTTGTACGCTCTCAAGCTATGCAAAGACTAAGGCATTTATATTAAGTAATGACTGTCTTTTAACAAGTCAGTCAATTGGAAATCAGTAAGGATGATCAGACACATTGCATAACAACAGTCATATTCTCCAGCCTTATGGTTACCATGTTTTCTTAGGTATGGAGCCTCTGCCTGTGTGCACTCAAGCCACAATAAAACTTGGGCATTATAATAGGCCATCACTGTCTTTCAGCCACAACCATCATTTGAGGCAAGAAGACCACACACGCTTGACTCAGTTTGACTTCACCACACTTACCAATTAACATCTCCTTGGCTTTTTCTTTCATTTGATTCCTGTAAATGTTTGTTGAGTGCTTTTGTCAGTGTGACTGCACTTTCATTTTACAAAGTCAGCAGCAACACCTACAAAATATCAGTTGAAGACTATGCAAAAGTTTGTTACAATTCCTTGAAACCACTTCACGATATAATTACCTGGACACGTTTATAAAATTGTTACAAGCACATCTTGTGTGTGTGTTTCACATCCAATTTACATGCTTGAAACGCACAAATGGGTGTATTAAAATCAAACGCAATCTTGTGTAATGCACTGGTAAATTACACACAATCAGCTAATTGTAACATAATAAGTGAGCCCCATAAGAAAACGGTGTGCGCACTAAGACTGAAGGTGTGAATTGAATGTTGAAGCTGTTCCATTCACTTACCAAGAGAACATCTTGAACTGCAATGCGAACAGAAAACGAAAAGGTGTCATCATCCTCATCTTCAGCAAATTGATTTGGATTGGATGTCCACACTTGCCTTGAAGGAGGCAAATAACAGCAAAAAAGGTTATTGTTTGATCAATGTGACAAGTATTGAGAAGCCACCTGTTGTTGGGTATGTGAGTGCAAAATAGACTAGAGATAATAGGCTGGAAATAAAAATGAAAAACAAAACCCACCTGCTCTTCTGTGATTTGCATGTACAACACTAGGAAATAAATAAGTTCATCTAAAAACTTCTTGACAGTTTTCTTGCATTTTGGTGTTTCCGTAAGTCCACAGATAAACTCAAAAACACTGAAAACAAGATTCTCAAATCCCAACACTTCTCCTGAGATACAAGAAAAGAAAAAGTAGTGATGGTAAGAAGAGGTAATGTTGCACAAACTGATTTTTTTCAGCACAATTGTTGTTGTTCAATGAATGTGGTGCCATTTGCTTCGTGTAGTTCTTAACCAATGTCATTAATGCCTTAATGGGGATAAAGTGAATGACATTTTGTTTTTTAATAAATACAAGATGGAAAGTTGCTTGGATTAACACTGAATAAGAGTGCTCAATTATGTACAAGTACAATGAATGAACCAGAGCTGATATGTTGAGTTTATTGATGATTTACAAAAAGAAAGGAAAAGGGAATTTGGAATCTTTAATACACTTCCTGGAATTTTCATCTTTGGGATTGAAGCATGTCATTTTCTGAGCAGGAAAAGTAAATAAAAAAAGCCATGCTTCTATAATTGATTTCTTGAATGCCAATGATTGCACAAAAAATGGTGACTTTCTGGATGGAATGAGAAATTCATAGCTTTTGATGAGCAATGTAAATTTTGAAAAAAAAACATTTTAACTTCTTGGCTTGTAAGGAGAAGGTTTATCCATTGTA